GTTACTACTCTTGACGACCCCTCTCCCCTTTGTTTCCTACTCTCCTGGGCTACTCTTTCTTCTGCTTCTATGCCTGCCATCAATCCAGAGACGGAAGGATGTTTGGGGTGGGGTGGGGGGATAAATAGTTGCTTGTTTACAGGCTGCGGCTCACTTACCAGAAAAGAAAAGGAAAATTGTACTTTGCAAAAATCTCATGACGATTCATTATGCTGCCAACAGAAGGGGAAATGGAGGTCAAGGATTTTAAGGCAGAACACAGTAGGCTTTTTCATGGTGAAGTCTCCACTTCTTTTGTTCTGATGCCCCTCTGGGAGTTATTTACTGTTGGGGTTTACTGCAAGGACAGTGATTCCTTGCCTGTTCTCAGGGGTCTGGTTCAAGTAATTTGAACTCGCGGCACATCACATGAGGGGGACGGATCGCCACTAATTAAAGATGCCCCATGCCAATTCGGTTTTTTTACTAGTGTGTGAAGGGCTGTTGATTCTCAGTTCATGCCAGGAGGGCATTACAACGGTGAAAACACCAATGAGAAAGAAATATGTGGGGCATGATGTCAGGGCAAGTAATTGTAGTAGCTGATTTCAGCTGAATAATGGGCATTTATGGCATGAGCTATGAGACAGGATTATTTCCAGCTGGAATAATGAATGTATTGTGTGGTCTTGCAGAAGGTACCACAACCCTGCACGTGTAATGTAGGGATAAAAAGAACCAAAGTAGACGTGTCTCTGGCAAACCCGTCTCTTTTTAAAACTGGCTGCGCAACAAGCATGTATAAAACAGAGGGAGTATGGCTTACTTCCCTATAGCATTTTTCATGAACTGGATTTAAATACCAGAAGTAAGCCAGTCAGGGAGAAAAGTGGTGGGTGGGGGGCTGTGGAGAGGCAAGTGGAGAGCACAGAGAGGGTTCAGCAATCCCACGGCCATTCCCCTTTTTGCTTTAAAAAATCGAATCCTTCTTCACCTTTATACTACATTAGGAGAGACCCCATACCAAAAGTGATATGTCTCTCACCACCCTGTATAGTTTGTCCCTAATACTGGTCTACATTACAAAATTGTTCTAAGGATGATTGAGCTAACATACATCAGCACTTTAAGCACTTGAGGAAAAAAGTTCTATATAAAAAAGCAATACCGCTATCCTCAGGAAATCTCAATACAGTTGCACACATTCAATCTCAGAGCAGCAAGAGATGCAAGGGGTTCCTGGTAGCCTTCGAATGAAGGTCAGTGGAGACTGTAGTGTCTTTAGGATATACATATTTACACATCTACACAACCCGAGCATACGATGGAAGGGATCACAGAATTAACATCCTGACAGATCTTGCTTCCCCTTCTGTTTTTTGGGAAGTCCTAAGTCACAGCCTGGGTCTAACCTTAAGTTAGTTGTGTCTATTATTTTAGTGGGTCTACTCTGAGTAGGACTGAGTGCAACCCACTGTCTCCCTCCACGTTGGGGCTATGCAAAGACGATATCCATGTTATTTGATGTGAGTGATGTAGAAAAAAACCTGCTCCTTTTACCTTATGGGGTATCCAAGAGCCCATATAGAGTCCTTAAGTGGGTTCCCTATCGGGAGGAGAAAATAACAGAGGCCAACCAGAGAATATTGAGAAGCAAAGCAGCTAGTAAGCCTGATCTTTATTAAACTCTTGCAGCAGGGTCCTCACTCACCACATGCAGGAGGGAGAAGGAACCCAGAACAATGGTGTGCAAGCCCTTATATAGACTTCTGAAACTGCCCACCCTGTAACTCAAGACCACTCCCAAAAACATCATACATACATCACAGAAAGAGGCGGTCTACAACAGAAATCCTGTCTGTTCCCCCCAACCCACTCAATTTTTTGGGGGTGGTGGTGGGGTATGTGGAGTGAGAGGTGGAAGTCCTTTCATTAGTAAGACTTATCAGTTGAATCCTGCATCATCATCACCACCATTGTCTCCATCATATTCCCTGAACTGTCATACCCAAATTAAGAAAAGCGGGTAAAAGGAAAACTCCTTGGTAATGCCATTATTCGAGTTCTATATTGGAGATCTTTGCCTTACCTTGTTCACAGTAGATGCCAGTGGTTCCTAGTGGGCAGTGGCAGGTGTAGCCGTCAGGCAATGGGGCACAGGTGGAACCTTGCCTGCACCTGTGGGGTGGCTTGTGCTCGGGATCACACACAGAAACTGTCTCCATGCAGAATGCTCCTTTCCAGCCAGCGGGGCAATGGCAGCTAAGAAGAGAAAACCATAGGATATTATCAATACAGGGCTAGCTGCATGTTACAAGCCACTGTGTATAAGAGAGTCCCTGTGCCCTTTTCTTTTTTTAAGGAAAAGTATCTTGGCAATAGGGACGCGGGTGGCGCTGTGGGTTAAACCACAGAGCCTAGGGCTTGCCGATCAGAAGGTCGGCAGTTTGAATCCCCATGACGGGGTGAGCTCCTGTTGCTAGGTCCCTGCTCCTGCCAACCTAGCAGTTTGAAAGCACGTCAAAGTGCAAGCAGACAAGTAGGTACAGGTAAACGGCGTTTCCGTGCGCTGCTCTGGTTCGCCAGAAGCGGCTTAGTCATGCTGGCCACATGACCCGGAAGCTGTACGCTGGCTCCCTCGGCCAATAAAACAAGATGAGCACCGCAACCCCAGAGTCGGCCACGACTGGACCTAATGGTCAGGGGTTCCTTTACCTTTACCTATCTTGGCAGTGGGGAATTTGAAGAAGGGAAACAATGAGCTGAACCCTTTCCCAGCCTCTGCAATTAATCCTTCCAGATGGTTTTCCTGATGCAGAATGCAAGGCACTTACTTCCTCTTGCAAGCACATGTTGTGAAAACCATGTGGGAGGTGATAGGGAGCAGAGGGAGGTGGGGAAGGGTTAAGGGAAGCTCCCCCTGCTGCTTCTCTGCTCCAATCTTCCCCCACCCAAAACTGCTTTTCTCATAAAAACAAAAAAACAGGGTAGGCCCTAAAAATATTTATCTCAGGCATCAAAGGTCAGGGGGAAGAGGTGTGTCTTCTGTATATAATGGAAATTTCACAATGAAGGTGCCAGACACACTTCTGTTGGGGAGAGAATTCAAATTCTTAGGGACTGCCACAGAGAATGCCTTCTCCTTTTTGGCCACCCTCTGAATATTCGAGGGCAGAGGAACTACCAAGAGGGCCCCTTCCGCTTTAGACACTAAGGTGAACACCATGAAGCCCACTTTCCTCCTCGTTGTAGGAGGGGGGTACCAAGATAGTGCACCTGGACTGCTGTGCTGAATAATGTGTACCGCCGGCTAATGGATTTATGATCCCTCACCACCACTATGCCCAACTGCCATTCAGGTGCTTGGAAAATCTGATCTCTGTATAGAAGCTTATTTGGTTCATGGACTGCATTCACAGATGCCCTGTGCATTGCCGTTTATAAGCAAGGATTTCATAAGGATGTATTCTAGTTTGGTTGAGCAAGAACAGATCAGTGCCACCTGGTGGGGAGGGCTGGAGTGCAGTGACAGGACACCTGCTCTGCATGCAGAAGGTTCCAGATTTAATCCCCAGGTAGGATTAAGTCCCTGCCTGAGACCCTGGAGACCTGCTGCCAATCAATCTAAACAATAATGATCTAAGAAAGACTGGTGGTCTGACTTAGCATATGTTCCTGTGAGTAGAATACTAGGTAAAGGTAAAGGTACCCCTGCCCGTACGGGCCAGTCTTGACAGACTCTAGGGTTGTGCGCTCATCTCACTCTAGAGGCCGGGAGCCAGCGCTGTCCGCAGACACTTCCGGGTCACGTGGCCAGCGTGACGAAGCTGCTCTGGCAAGCCAGAGCTGCACACAGAAACGCCGTTTACCTTCCCGATAGTAAGCGGTCCCTATTTATCTACTTGCACCCGGGGGTGCTTTCGAACTGCTAGGTTGGCAGGCACTGGGACCGAGCAACGGGAGCGCACCCTGCCTCGGGGATTCGAACCGCCGACCATGCGATCGGCAAGTCCTAGGCGCTGTGGTTTAACCCACAGTGCCACCCGCGTCCCACTGAGTAGAATACTATTTTGGCTTTATTGCAGGCACCTCTGACTGCACAGCAATGCGCCAGTTTCTAATCAATTCAAAAGAATCACCAAATGCCAGGAACGTGTGCATATTATTTTCAACTCAAGCGTTAGATAGATACCCAAATAGTTATTGCCCAGCAGAAACCTATTTTCTATTTTTCCACATCAAGGGCGGCTGGTCCTAGAAACTTATTACCAGAGGTTTTGCATGCCTGTTGGAACGCATTTCAAATACTGTATTTCTACCTAGATGAAGAATAGGGGCTTGCCCAGCCGAGAAGCCAAATGCAAAGTTTACCCTAAAAAAAAAAAAAAAAAATCTACAGGAAATGGTGTGCATTGCTGTACCTATTTAAATCAGCAGCATTGTCCCCATAGCAACAGGCTCTCGAATTTAAATGCATTGCACATCATGTCAAAACGGAGGTTCTCTGACACATTGAAGCAATTTCTCAAAAAGTGAAAAGCCCCTAGGAGGAAATGATTCCTAGGAGCCAATATGATGTCTGAAAACAAACCCAGGCTCTCTGAGGAACAGAGCTTTTTAACATCAGCAGCAAAAGGAGGAGGAAGTGTTTTTGTAGCCATGCTGCACGTAAAGAAGAAAAGGGGAACCTGCGAGCCACCAGATGTTGTTGGACTACAACTCCCATAATCCCTGACCATGCTGGTTGGGGAGGATGGTAGATGGAGATCAAAAACATATGAAGGACAGGGCCGGAGCACTCATGAGCCAAGGTGGGGTGACTGCCTCGGGCGGCAGGATCCACAGGAGCAGCAGATCCCGATGTGTATCCTTGGACAGCCACAGGTTTCTACACCCCTGATGTACAGCACATGCTCGATGTGCAACTTTACCCCCTTTCAAACCCAGATATGGTAGTTGTAGTAGAACGGGGCATGCCAGGGTTAGTAGAAGATTTGGCTGTGCATCTAAAGTCTGGTTAAGGGCCATAGCTCAGTGGTAAAGAATCTGCTTTGCATGCAGAAAGTCCCAGGTTCAGTCCCTGGCATCTCCGGGGAGTTGCTGGGAGAGAACCCTGTTGGAAATCCTGGAGAGGTGCTGCCAGTCAGTGTAGACAATACTGAGTTAGATGGACCAATGGCCTGCCCCAATATAAGGCAGCTTACCCCGTCTTGGTTTACATTTGATTAATGCCCATGAGAACCACGGTGTTAAGGCAGCACGGGCTTGATGAATTTCCCATGCAATAATAATTCACCCAAACCCATTTGCACTTACTAAACGGTAGAGCCGCTTTCCACGCACGTCCCCCCATTTCCGCATTTTATGAAGCGGCACGGAGACTCGTCACACTGTCCTACGCTGCGACCAGCATTCGGGTGGCCTTCTGGGATTCCTGGGGCTTTAAATGGCTGGTCCCTCCCGGTCCGAACTCGTATGTCAAAAATGCAACCTCAAAAGAAATTAATAATAATAATAATAATAATAATAATAATAATAATATCACCCGGCACCCATCTGGTGATGCATTTCAGCAAGAAGCTTATGGAAGAAAGGAAAGAAAAGATGAACGGATGTGTTTGATTTTCGCCGCTCAGGAGGAATTTATTTGCCACAATGCTATGTATCGCTAACTTAGTTAAAGGTATTCATATAAATATATTTCTATGAAATTAGGAGGGAAAAGACAGTACACAGCCTCAGTCTTAATCTCATTTAGTCATGGGTGGTTCTGTAAGGCTCCAGAAAGAGCTTAATTTAAACATGCTGCAAAAGTGGCGGATGTCTGTACAGTGGTACCTCGGGTTAAGTACTTAATTCGTTCCGGAGGTCCGTTCTTAACCTGAAACTGTTCTTAACCTGAAGCACCACTTTAGCTAATGGGGCCTCCTGCTGCTGCCGTGCCGCCAGAGCACAATTTCTGTTCTCATCCTGAAGCAAAGTTCTTAACCCGAGGTACTATTACTGGGTTAGCGGAGTCTGTAACCTGAAGCGTATGTAACCTGAATTGTATGTAACCCGAGGTACCACTGTATACGGCTGAGGTTACCAACCTTTTGGGGCCAATGGGCACATTTGCAAACCCAACAAACTGTCATGGGTACTGTGTACATGTTGCAACTGCAAACACATGCCCTAAAACTATACCTATGGATTCAGACTCACTTTACCCCCATCCCCACCAATTATTTTGGTTTGGAAAAAACTGGTATTCTCCTATTTGCTGTTTGTTTCCCGTTCTAAATCAGAGGCACTGTAGGTTCCATTACTAGAAAGGGGGAGCACCTGGCTTTCAAAAATTGGGTTTGCAATCCTGAGCCCACATATGGAGATGCAAGATTCACTGGACTCTATGAGACTTGCTCCTGAGTAGGAAGGCAAGAGGGCCTTTCCATTCTGCCCCATAGTCATTGGATGCAGCATTGTTTACATTCTGCAGCAGTTCATCTTCCATCAAAAACTACACTATTTGTCTCACTGTCCACTGTGCAAAATTACCTAGCTTATGTAAGTTACTTTGCCATTGTGTTGCTGGACCTCATTCATTTCAGTGGAAAGGAAACACAACGAAAATGGGGAGTGGTAGAAATCAATTACATATAATTTGTGGATTGAAAGCAACAACGGTGAAGACTGATCTTATTCACTGGATTGAGTTCCGCTCCAAACATGGAAGGAATAAATGAACACTGGCCATTTTCACTCCAGCTTCTGTTGTTGTTGGCGTTCTCTGACATCCCTACTCCTGAGCAGACATAATTAGAATTGCACTGCAAACATACGCAGGTTTCAGTTTTAAGAAGCAAAAGGGAGCGTGATATGGGAGGAGTGTCTTGCTGTATACATGGCAAGTCCTGAGGATACTAGGTTATTCCCAGAACCAGTAGGTTGTCTCCTGATTACCCAACCCAGGTTCAAACCTAATGCAGATGAAGAGCTGGAAATTCTGTGGGAAACCACCTCCCAACAGTAGAATTTATCCCAATGACTTCACCCATTCCTATAGCTCAGGACTGGGGAACCTTTGGCATTCCAGATATTGCTGGAGTCCAAGTCCCATCAGCCCCAGTCTGCTGAAGCCACACCTGCCCAACTCTTCTACATCACATTAATTCTATAATGCCATCTATGTATAGGTTTTTTTTTGCTGGTTTTGACCTTTAAAGCCCTATGTGACCTAGGACCCACGTACCTACGGGACCGCCTCTCCTGGTATGCCCCGTGGAGTACCTTAAGGTCCACAAATGACAACATTTTGGAGGTCCCAGGTCGCAAGGTGGTTAGATTGGTCTCAACTAGGGCCAGGGCCTTTTCAGCCCTGGCCCCGACTTAGTAGAATGCTCTATCACAAGAGACTAGGGTCCTGTGGGACTTGACATCTTTCCACAGGGCCTGCAAAACAGAGCTGTTCCGCCTGGCCTTTGGTTTGGACTCAGTCTGACCCTTATGTTTCCCTCCCCTTATGGTTTTGATCTATGGGTGACTTTTAACCTGTATTTTAAATTGGTCCCCCCCCTTATGTTTTTACTGTGATTTACTGGTGTTAGCCACCCTGAGCCCGGCTAATTATTATTATTATTATTAGTGCTTCACAAAGAACAGGCAAGGCTGGCTCCTACTCCAGTAAGCTTACAATTTAAAACAGACACAGGGGAACAACCGACAATTGGGTAGATAGAGGTATGGGGTGTTTGTGATAATACGTTTAATGTAAATGTGAAGAGTTGCATCCAACATCAGCCATGCTCAGAATAAATCAAATGCAATGGAAGTAAAATTCTTAGTTACCTTGAAAGCCGTTCTTAAAATTGGATCCATTTGGTAAGAGTTCTGGGATGTATTCAATGTAACCTCCTACGTAGAACTGGCTGAAGACATTGAGCCCAACCAAAGTTCCTGGAGATGTGATGGTTTTGTTTTCATGGTTATCCACCTTTCAGACAAAAGCGGAACAAAACCAAAACCTGTTATTTGTGGAGCAAATTGAGTAGATCTCTTATCTCATCCTTACGTCCCCACAAGCTTCCAAACATGGAGAAACCACCATTAACGTGTTTTGTATTACAGTCTAAGCTTCAAATAAATGAAGGGTAGAAGGCACTGCTGCAATTGAATAGTAAATATATAAATAAGGTCTTTAAATTTCCAGGGTGGTCATTCAAAGGGCTTTTAGAGGTGTGCAAGTATGTCTGCTAATGTAGCAAGTTGTACCCGTCCCACCCCCATTTTCCACTCCAGCAGTCTTATGTATTCTTTCCCAGAGTGGTCTAGAATTTCAAGAGCAATTCGTAAGGGGCAGTGTGTGTGTGTGTGTGTGTGTGTGTGTGGTGGGTGGGAGAACTGCTTTTGAAAATGGAGAGGGGCATTCAACAACTTTGTTGTATGAAGTCTTCAGGATACAGTACATAAATATATTTAACTCTTAGGATTCAAGACTATATATTTAAAGTTTTGTTTGTATGACAAGCTTAATAAAGGTTATATATAGTATCCTGCCTCTTGCACCAAAGGAGCTCATATGTGGGTTCTTCTACTTTTATCCTCACAGCAACCTTGTGAGGTAGGTTGGGCTGGGAGGCAGGGACCAGGCTGAAGCCACCGCCAACCACCCCACCCCCAGTGAGCTTCGTGGATGCAAATAAGAGTTTTCTAAGCATCTCTTCCAAAGGAAGAGTTACCTTCATCCAGCCATCCTGAAGAAATCTGCCAAGACTGACCACGTGAATATGCCTTGTCAGATCCAGCAGCTCACTAATGATAGTGGCTGTTCCAGATCCTAGGTTGTAGCTGTACACCAGGTGGCCGTGGCGCAGGCCTAGCACTAAGAAATCATCGCCATTAAGACCTGGAGTAAGAATAACCACAAGGGGATACATTAAGGGAGTGAGTCTTGGGTTACATTACCAAAACAAAATGACAGAATGTAAGAAATGATAGCCTAGATACCAGAGAGGGATTGCGGCTAACACCATGTGCCCACCGCTTCCCAAGCCAGCGGTTGAGAGTGCACAGGATGCAGAGTAAACAGGACCAGAGTTCGGCTTCTTTTGCAAGGAGGTCATTGCAGGCTTATGGCATTTTGTAATGTTTTAGTTTAGTTATTAACATGCAGTTTGAACAGAGGTCCGACAGGCATCCAAAGTCCACTGCTTCCACTTCAGATCTCTCCAGAAAAGCAGACAGCATCTCTGTTTCTACGTTGCCCTTATGCTTAATCCCACTCAAAAACTAGTCCAGTGGCATAGTGAAACAGGAATTTGGAGACAAGATTCATGGTCTATTTTTCCCCCCTTCCAGAGAAGGGGTGATGGCACAATCAGCTGGAGGACCAGGGTAACTGACAGGTCCTTCTTGTTCTGGCTAGTGAATGATGTTGGCTAGTGAACGGGGCTTTCAAGTTTTACCAGTTCGTTGATTAGCACAGAGGAAATCAGAACCTCTGGAAAACACAAACAGAGGCTGGATACTTCTTTCCTTTGATGGATTTCCTACTTCATGTAGGCAGATGACGCAGTAATACTGCTTTCCCAAATCATTTGCATTTTTAATTAAAAGTTCATTTGAAAAGTGCTCAGAAGCTCCAACTGGCTCCAAGAGCTGCAGACAGATTGTTGACTGGGAACATACAACCCGCTTGCTAGAGCAGCTCCCACACTGGCTACCTATAAAGCCCTATACAGCTTAGGTCCAGGCTATCTGAAAAGACTATTTCCTCATGTGAAACTGCCCAGGCTCTGAGATCTTCAGGGGAGGCCCTTCTCTCAGTCCTGCCACCCTCACAGGGCCTTCTTGGTGGCAGCTCCCAGCCTTTGGAAATCTCTCCTGAAAGAAGCTAGACTGGCTCCCTCCTTGCTGTCCTTCTGCCGGCAGGTGATAACTTTCTTGTTCCAACAGAAACAGCTGTTTTTGAGGAAAGGGCTGGTGCTGTGCTTTTTTTATTGTAATTATCTGTATGTGATCTCTCACACACACACACACATCTCCCCACTTCTGCATCATTATTATTATTATTATTATTATTATTATTATTATTATTTGGAAGGCGTATCTATT